GTCGTGGATCTAGCATGTAGCCGCCCTCACTGAATGCTTGCTCAACCGCGACTGTAGATGCTGGGACAGCAAAGATCTCCTTGGCCATAATGCATGGAATAGGAAAAATTCCTCCCATTCTTGACCACCAATCTAACACATCGAAATTGAGTGGCGGTTGAGGTGGACGTGCAATCGTAACGGCTAAATTCGACGTAAGGTAGTGATCCAGCTCATAGTATACAGTCCCCTGCACCCTTTGACCGCCCGAGTTTTTGTAGGGATTTAATGAATCCCAAAACACTTTGAAGTTTCCGAAGTTTGTATTGCCGCTTTGCCCTCCATACGAAGATGAAGACCCGCTGCCGCTTGCACCACTGCTACGAACAAATGTGCTGGGAGACTCTCCATGTGCGATCGCTGTTTCCTTGAACATGTCATACAAAGAATTTTTTGCTTGCTCGACGAGCTGCGGTATGTTAGGTTTGTCCCTGTAAGTCGGGACCCCACTCGGCAGTGGCAATTGATACATATAATCATAGTACATATTAAGTTGATTTAACAAACCTTGCTCACGAACTGTAGGATCTAACAGACATGCAATTAAAAATGTATCGGGAATATAGTAATAATATTTTAGCCATTTTTCTAACATATTTTCTACTAGACCAGAATATTTAAAAGGATCTAAGTCATAAATATCTTTAAAACCCCACATTATAGCTATACATTGACTGACCACAAATTGAGCAGTAGGATAGTAAACACCAGAAAGAATATTAGTAGCGTTTTGAAATGTTTCTAAAAAATTTGTAAGTTGCGAACAGTTTGCCCAATCATTCACCGAAAGTCGAACATCACAATCCCTACGGTTTGGATCATTAAAAAAATCCTGTAAATGCTTGGCATAATCAGCGGTGACATTCAACATTTTAAATGTTGAATTCCACCGGGTAGGCACGTCTGGCTGGAATTTTTTAGGTTTAATTCCAACACTCTTACAAAATCATCCCCATGCTTTCATTTCTTGGGGACGTTTATGCAAATAATTGACGGCCTCCCTTATTGGCTTTACAGAATCCTTAAAAACATGATAACCAGCTTGAACACACAAATTTAAAACATGACATATACAACAAATATGAAAAAATCTACCCCCACAGATTGGTGTACAAACATCATTTAATTCACGTATAGATGCAGTATTTGCAGTCGCATTATCAAATGAAATTGAAAATACTTTTTTACCAATACTATAATTATCTAAGATTTTTGAAATTAAATGAGCAATATTAGAAGCAGTGTGTCGTTCATGAAATGCAACATAACCGATTAAACGTTTTTGTAAAGTCCAACTATCGTCAACCCAATGACAAGTAATCCCTAAATAAAAATTATTTATCCAATGATCGGACCATATATCAGCACAAATGGATACTCTATGATTTAAAGATTTAAAATTTTCTTTTAAAATTAGTTTCTTCTCACTCACGATTTTTCGAATATCGCGAGTAAGGGTGGTACGAGGAACTCGGTTGGCAGATGGATTTAAAGCCATTTGAGCAAAATTTTCATATAAATCACTATCACCAAAACTATAAGGAAGAGACGAAGCAGAAACAAATTCAGCTAAATGACGTCTATGATTTTCATGAGAATAATGAAATAAAGAAGAAGACGTACCTGCACCTTGAGTGGCTGAGGCGGATGCTCCGCTGCTACTTGGGAATTGCGTCTGTGCCGTGTCGATTCCCATTACTGTCGGATGAACATTCTTCAAATGTCGGGTCAACGTTCCGTACCCGTCGCCTTTTTTGAACTGATACTTAGTCTTCGAATTGGCCGGACAGTGGTTGTAAATAGCCAGAAAATAAGGATCACCTCCTTTCTTTTCATTTGGAGTCTTCGTGTAATGTCGGTCGAACATGACGGAATCCCGAGTTTTGACTTTAACGCCCCCGACAACTCGGACCGGCTGTGTGGGTTGTTGTGGCTGCTCATCCGGAGGAGTACTTCCAAATAGATCGTCGAGATGGTCCTCGTACGGCTGCTCTGGGCCCACCTCGTGTGAGGGTGGAGGCTGAACGAAATCGAACATTTGATCGATTGTGGCGGCATCTATATCGTCGGTCACGCCCGGGACATCTACATGTATCGTTGGATTCGCAAATGAGGGCAATGGAGGTGTCGACGACGATGCGCCTTCCGGTTGCCGCTTTTGCCCGGAGGGCCCGAACTTCGAACCACGGCCACGACCAAAAAAGCTCGACATTTTGAATTTAAAAAATAATATACAACAAAAAAACAAAAAGGAAGAGAGATTAGGGAGAGGAAGAGAGATTAGGTAAAATTTATATTAAAAATTAAGTAGATACATATTTTTTTTTAATTAAAGTGGGAGAGAGATTAGGGAGAGATATTATTATGGAGTAATGGAGATATTAGAGAGATTGAGAGAGTGTGGGAGTTTGGGAGAGATAGATGAAGATAGTGAGTGAGGTGTGTGGAGTGAGAGGGGGGGTATTTATAGGTGAAAAATTTTAAAATTTTTAGATTTTTTTTTTT